CATTAAACAAGACTCTGACAGTGAACGTGACAATGCCTCGCGCAACATAATCCGCACAACTCAGGATCCAGCACCGTTCAAGGCTAGTAATCATAATCCAGTTTCAAACGTTGTAAAAAGTGGTGGTGATGAGACTGTTATTTCTCCATTAGATACGGATTTCCATAAAACATATAGAATAATTGATGTAAACAGGTCACCACGTCTGAAGGGGCAGATGAATATTGTTTATCGTAATAGTCCGACTCGATCGGGAGAATCTAGTTCTTCGACAGGCCGATCAACGACAAGAGATTTGCATAGTAGACGCCACAATCCCTCGAGCAGCATGATCGACACAGTTCAAGATACAACATCATTCAAGGGTAATAATCATAGTCCGCTTTCGAAACCAATAAAAAACGCTGCTGCTGTGACCAGTGTCAGTCCATTAGACACCCGTTTTCGTAGAAGATCTAAAGCACTTGATGCAAATAAATCACAGTCGTTGCTTCCTCAAGTAGACATCACTGATCGTCACACGGCAGTGCGATTGAAACTATGTGTTTCTTTCATCAAGGCGTCACGTGTCAAAGACAAAGAGCAGGCTTCAGTGGAAGCTGACAATACATCCAGGGAGGTTGTGGACAGAGATACAGACCACGCTTCAGAGAAACCCGACAATATATCCAACGAGGTTATTTACAGAAATGAAGACCACGCTTCGGAGAAAGTGGACAGTACATCGAGGGACGTGATTGACAGAGATGAAGATCAGGCTTCGGCGAACGATGGCAATACATTAAGGGAGATGATTGCCGGAGATGAAGAACAGGTCTCGGCGAACGATGGCAATACATCCAGGGAGGTGATTGACAGAGTTGAAGAACAGGCCTCGGCGAATAATGGCAATACATCCAGAGTAGCCATTGACAGAGATGAAGATCAGGCTTCGGCGAATGATGGCAGTACATCCAGAGTGGTGACTGACAGAGATGAAGATCAAGATTCAGAGAAAGCGGACGACACATCGAGAGAGATGATTGCCGGAGATGAAGAACAGACCTTGGCGAACGATGGCAATACATCCAGGGAGGTGATTGACAGAGATGAAGATCAAGGTTCAGAGAAAGCGGACGATACATTGAGGGAGATGATTGCCGGAGATGAAGAACAGACCTCGGCGAACGATGGCAATACATCCAGGGAGGTGATTGATAGAGACGAAGACCAGGCTTCGGCGAATGATGGCAATACATCCAGGGAGGTGATTGACAAAGATGAAGATCAGGCTTCGGAGAAAGCTGACGACACATCGAGGGAGATGATTGCCGGAGATGAAGAACAGGCCCCGGCGAACAATGGCAATACATCCAGGGAGGTGATTGACAGAGATGAAGACCAGGCTTCGGAGAATGATGGCAATACATCCAGAGTGGTGATTGACAGAGATGAAGATCAGGCTTCGGAGAAAGCTGACGACACATCGAGGGAGATGATTGCCGGAGATGAAGAACAGGCCCCGGCGAACGATGGCAATACATCCAGGGAGGTGATTGACAGAGATGAAGACCAGGCTTCGGCGAATGATGGCAATACATCCAGAGTGGTGATTGACAGAGATGAAGATCAGGCTTCGGCGAATGATGGCAATACATCCGAGGTGGTGATTGACAGAGATGAAGATCAAGGTTCAGAGAAATGGGACGATACAACCAGGAAGGTGATTGATAGAGAAGACCAGACTTCGGAGAAAGCTGACGATACATTCGGGGAAAAGAAAGCTGA